TGTGAAGTGGATGACGTGGTGGACTCTTGGTTTTCTCAGGACTTAACGACCACAACAGCTGAAATCCACAAATACTTAAGACCCCCTCTAAAAACGTTTGTAACTGCCTATTTTAATAGGCTAAATATGCCTTGATATGCATTAATACAAGCGATGTAAACATCCATGGGGTTCTTCATCTCCGCTCTTTGGGATACAGCCAATCAGCGCCAAGGAAAGTAAATCCTTGATTGCTTTGCAAACGCCAGACAACATGTTATGTAGCATTCATGGTTGCGTATTTTAAAAATGCTCTATGAATTCTCAGTGAATAATTTGGATACTTAAAGATTTCATTCTGATATCACAGCAGGTGTTATTCTTCATTTTCTTTACTCGCCCCTATGCTTTTTTTCAGACTTATCTATATTTTTCTTTAGGTTGAAATCCCCATAGAGCTCCTTGTAGCACTCACAGATTTGTTCTGTAGTTCAACTCAATAGTTTCTCCAGTACACTATAACACCAAGTACAACCTGCAGCAAACTTTGGAATTTATGTTGGTTCTGTTTCAACAAACCAGGAGCTTTTTATGTGGAATACCTCAGCAGTGTCAGATTTTGACATTTTACAGTTGGACACAGTCTGAGATGAGACTGGAGACCAGGTGTTGTCCTCAAATGACCAGAAAACAAATATCCACTTGGAACCCTGCTTTCTCAGCCAGCCTCGACAACAAGTTGTCCTCAGATGACACGGCACACGGACAGACAGCCAACAGTTTAGGAAGTAGTTGTAGTAATAGTTTTTCTCTCCACACTTTGACTGGGTCACATTGGCATTTCTTCCATAAAGGTAGGAAAAACTCTTGTCTGTCTGATAAGCTGTTTAATGACTTTACACTGTTTTGCCTCTATATATGGTATCAGTCTATAAATAATTACTTAAAAATGGATCCTAATTTAGTGTTTTTGGACTCATGAATTGACAATACGGTGTTTTCATTTCTCCAGGACAGTACAAATTTTGACTACAAAATTTGAATTTGCACAATTTGTGTGTGTGTGTGTGTTTTTTAACAACCTCAGCTTGTAGTTGTTTTTGATTCCTTTCATGTGAATGTAGGAGAATCACATTTGGAGCATAAAAGAAAGAGCTAATATTTTTTATGCTGATTCAGGCTTGATCCATGGCCCATTTTGTTTGAGGGCCAGGAGATTACATCACATGAATTGAGTTAAATAATAGTAATAATGATAATAACAATAATAACTAACAATTTGGGACAAAAAGATTGACAGTTATTTTATAAAATAAATGTGAACATTGTGCAGTTTTCAGTGTAAATTAAGGCTCGTAGTGCCTTACAAAAGTACTTACAAGTCTTTGAATGTTTGCCTGTACGTTTGTTGGTATATTACGAGGCTATTATAGTTATTAAATAAAACTAACAAAATCATGAAAACTGAAACTGAGAAATCATTTTTGTTAGCTGAAATGAGTTAATGGGGAAAACTATAACTAAATGGAACTATATGATGTGTTTGTAAAGCTCACTAAAACATACTAAAATTATAGACATAATATCCTTAGTTTTCGTGTTTATGAATCAATTTATTAACCTTTCAAAATGATTTAAAATAGATGTTTTTTGTTTCCCTACTCAAGCGGTTTACATCATCTGTTGGCTCCATATTCCTCCTGGCAACTCTTACACCAGTCACAATACTTTGGTCTTTTTGAATTCTGCACCTTAAAATTAACCAAAGTATGAAAAAACTGAAACTACTATAACTAATAAAAACTAAACTATAACTAAGCGTATTTAACTAAGGATAACTAGCAAACAGAACACTCTAAAAACTAATTAAAACTAACTGAAATAGACAAACAAAAGGGAACAACTAAGTAAAACTGAACTACAATGAAAAACCCAAAACTATTATAACCCTGGTATTTTATGTGATAGGCAAACGCATTCTTTGGAGTATAGCCAATCAGAAGCAAGGAATTGGCTCGATATAAACATCGGCCAAATATTAGAGCTATTGTTATTTCAAATATTTTAGATATGATACAGTAGACAAAGAAAGCCATAGAACAGGCACATTTTTTGTGAATAATTTGGAGTTACTTTTTACAGACACATCTGCTGCTTGGTGAATCTGCTGTAATGTCTCTTCGGGCAAAATTCACCACAATGCCCAAAATGCTCACTCAACTGTCCAAATCGCTGAATCCAGTTGTTGTAATTACTTGTATGACCACAAGAGGATAAAATCCAGCACTTTGACAAGCAAACTGCTTCCGCAAACATTTGTGAACGAATGAGTTGCTATTTGGAGATCAGTGACCTGACCTGTGGCATGGTGCTGTGATACAATTCCTCTTGTGCAAGAAGTCGGGTCCTGAAATTTTCTTGCCGTTAAATTTTGAACAGTCGGGGGTACTGTGGTGGTGCAGGGGTTAAGCACAACCCACATAAGTAGGGCTTAGTCCTCGACATGGTCGTCACAGGTTCGATTCCCGGCCTGGTGACCTTTGCTGCATGTCTTCCATCTCTCATTACCCACTTTCCTGTCATAGCACGTTCAAATAAAGACCAATAAAACCTGAAAAAAAAAATTAAATCATTGAACAGTTGATGGTTGATATTATTATGAGGTTAAAGTTATTGGGAACGACAGCAACTCAGCCAAGATGTGGTAATGTAAATGTAAAAATAATAGCAAGGTGATTGGATCTTGTGGGGGATAAAAAACAGAGGTCACTAACTTTCTGCCTTGACGTTAGGTCTAGAACTGTTTCTTGAGCGCATCATGTGATGGGTTTCGGTTGCTATGCAGTTGCATCCACCCCATATTCACCAAGTGGAATTCAAAGTGTTGCATGTTACTGTGCAAATCATGCTGCAATTACAATCTGGAGCAGCGGAGATGTGTTCTGTGGAGTGATAAATCGTGTTTCTCTGTCAGGCAGTCAAATGGATGCTTGCCAGGAGAACGACTCCTGACTGCCTGCACAGTACAGGACATTTTGGACTATTTCACTCTCTCATTATTGTGGGAACCGCTACACAAAGTAATATCCACAAATACATGAGTGAGCAACTCTGATACAGAGGAGTTTGGCCAGTTTGACCTCAACCTGATAGAACACCTTTAAGATTATTTTGCGGTAGACATTCAGCCAGGCCTCAGTCTCTTACCTCACAAATGTCCATGTGGCGGAATGATGATATGAAATGTTATGGGAAGCCTTCCTAGAAGAGTTGTAATTGTTACCATGTTAAACCCTGTGGATTAAGAATGGGATAGCACTCAAGTACAGATACATTTAGCAAAATAGTGAAGGTGAGTTCAGTCAGATGTCTGAACAGCAATTTTCAGGTAAGCCACAGGTTCTCAGTTAGATTTAGATCTGGGTCATTCTGAATATGAACATTCTGTTTCATAACTATTTCACTAACTATTTCCTTGTAGATCTAAAAATCTAGTTATCATCGTTCCACTGGCAGGTAAACCTCCAACTTCTGTCTCCAATCTGAAGCAGGTGGTCTTCCATGATTTCTGTTCACCCATCAACTCTCGCCAGTTTACCCAAAGAATAAAAGTGGTCTGATATAATCAACATGTTTGCTGTGTCCTTACATGACCTGTGGCAAATTGGACTTTTTTATGGCTTTCTTTCAGCAGTGGCTTGATTGGTGCTGCTGTTCCATGAAGGCCAGATTGGTCCACTCAGTTTCAAATCCTCTGATTGGCTAAAAACAAGAAGAATTTAAACATTTCAGAGAAAAACGTAGAAAAAGTCATATTGACCTACTGCGATTTGTTCTCATTGTTTGACATTGCAACATGTTGGATGTTGTCTTGGTTTAAGCCAAAAGAAGACTGTGACGAGTCACACCGTGTGTGTGTGGTACATCACAAACTCAATTTTCTTCCGCAGCACTTCGGTCCTCACCTCCTCTGTTCCAAGCTATTGTGCATCTGCTTACTGTAATGAGGCTCGATAAGAACCAGCAAACAAAGCCGAGATAAGACTGAGATCCATTGAGCCTTTCCAAAACTCAGACAGGGTGTATGTTTGTTTATCTGACTGCTTTTTTCCCCTCCCCTCTTTGACTTGTTCCATATCATTCCTTGTCTTGAACTTGTTTTTAAACCTGTTTTTCTTATCTGGTGTTTGATTTCTTTATGCTTTTATGCCTCTGCCTCGTCTGTTCTTTGATATTTTTTTGTATGTTTCTTTTCTTTTCCTTTCCTAGTTGCCTCATTTTATGTGGGTTGTCTCTCTCTTTCATGTTTTCACACAGGCTTTCCTCCCTCTGTGATTCCTTCCCCCGTCACACCCCGTCCCCGTGTGTGATGCATCTCCCTCGTACCCTCATTTTTATGTCTCAATAACAAGAAAAAGTAGTTTTCTCCTACTTCACAAACAGCCTCACCTCCTCCCCCTCTTTTCCTGTCCTCTTTCCCCCTACCACCACTCTCTTTCTTTTGGAATTTATTTCTTTCCCAGTCACACAAAAACCGCACTTGGTACTTTTGAAATGGAAATAAAGTTTTGTTGTTTCCTCAGCTGTAGCCTCCTCCAGCCCTGTTTATCAGGCAGACTTCAAAGTGGCACGCTGACATGTGGCGCTATCTCTCCGCCGCTCTGTGAAACAGGGTCACAGGCGGCGCTTGGCTCTCAAAAAAAAAAAAGAAAAACTTTCCCCTTTCATGTGAGAGCCTGGTGGGTGAGAAGAACCAAAGGGGGGCCATGCCAGCCCGCCGCCCGCTATCCCAACTCAGACGCCAATCGTCCACCGCTGTGTGCATCTGTGTGTGTGTGTTTGTGTTTGTGCGTGGGAGTTAGTGGAGGTGCGTGCTCTCTCAGCTTGGTACTGCAGGCTAGTGGTTAGCCCTGCCCACGTTCTGCTGTGGTCTACCTAACCCACCTGTTGTTTCTGGTATCTCATGAATTTCTTCACCAAGTTCCCTCCCTCTGTCTGTGTTTTTCCTCTCCTTTCCCCAGCTGTGGAGCCAACCTGAGAGTGGCGGAGGAGTTGCTGATGAATTTCGGATGGGATGTATGTGGGAAGAGGAAAACAAAACCAGGAAGCAAAAGATCAAAATGAATCAGAGGGGACGGCAATAAGAGCTGCCTATGAAAGACAACTCTGAGCCGCGCCCAGGCCGCATCCTTTATCTTCTCACCGTGCCACAAAATCCCCATCAATCTCTGTCACAATCCGTCCTCTTTTCCTGTGAGCCATCCCTTTATTCTCCCCTCCTTCAGAACATAGCTGAACCCCCTTCTACAGACCAGTGATCCAGGCAGCAGCAAAAAAAAAAAAAAAAAAAAAAAAGGGGGGACGAGACAAGCTGTCACTAAGCACAGGAGGGACCCTGACTCGCTGCTGGGTGTGAGAAAACAGCTGCCTCTCGCTTGGTCACATGGACTGTTAATGAACAGAGATGGCAGTGAGACTAGCCGGTGCCACCCTGTCCTCTCGACCACCCTCCCCCCCTCCGACGGCCTCTGCCCGGACAGGTTAAGGTCGGTCCATCGGCATCCATCGCAGCATCCACAGCAGCTGGCTGAGCGTGGGAAGGAACAGTATGCAGGAAACTGACCTACCAGCTACAAATGCCTTCAAAGGTAAAAGCCGACGATGAGCACCACTGTGTGTCCCTTACTGTGTGTGTTTGTGTTTGTTGTGTATCAAGCTGTCTCCTTGTAAGAGAATCTCACATTCAAACCGCACCAGGGTTCACTTCAACCAAACCGAGACCTTGGTCTGCATCAGAGTTTGATTATGCATTCACAACTCCCCAAACGAACCGCACTTTGTAGACAAACCAACTACCAAACAAGGCTGGCATGAATGCATCCTTATGAGCCAATATTGATCAGTGGACAGAAGCGATATACTCCTTACTAGTACCAGACCAAATTGCCCCTTTGCCTCCAGAATTGCCTTGATTCTTCATATTATAGATCCCACAAGGTGCCACTAACATTCCTCAGAGATACTTGTGAGCTGCACATCCACAGTACAGTGGCAAGACTCATCCAACCGAGTCACATTTTTCAAATTATTATTGCCATCTTATGGTAAGCATCTGTGGATTGTAGCCTTGGTTTCTCTCTCTTTGCTGTATGGAGTGGCACCTGATGTGATCTTTTGCTTCCATAGCAGCTTCAATGTTCCACAAGGACCCTTTATATATGATACACCTAATACTTTGGTTGTAACTGGTGTTTATTTGAACTACTGCTGAACTTCCTCTGATGTCAATACATCATTTTTATCCACACAATTGTTCCTCACTGGGTAACTTCTGTTTCTGGATCTGTCCCCTGTTAATCTTACATGGTTTGTGTGAAAATCCCAGTGTTTTCTGAAGTATTCAGACCTACTAGTCTGTCTCCAATAAACCTTAAATCTCCTTTCTTCCCCATTCTGGTTCTTTGAACTCCAGCGGTCACCTTCACCAGATGCCTAAATGCATTTAGTGGCTGATTTGCAGTTTGAGTAATTAAGCCTTTAAACAGGCATACCCCACTTTCTCCTTTTCACTCTAATGTGCAGAAATAAATACCATTTTATTTGTCGAAACATCCACGTCTGACCTATTTTTGGTTAAAACACTCCAGAAAAAAAGCAGGTAATTTTTATTTTGTTAGGAGTAAAAAATATTTTTCATTGATACATTTGTTTAAATATTATTCTTAAGCACTGTACAAGAAGAGTGTTAAAAATGAAGATACCGTTTCCAACAAGCACCTGGCTGATTAAAGAACAGAAACAGATATATACTTTATAATTGTGATAAAGTGATTATGATTTGAAATAGTTGAGGTTAGAGTTATCCAAAGGATGGAAGCAAAAGTTCAAATTCCATATAAATACAGCTTCTTCTCATCGTATATACTAATTAGCTTCAACCCATCCAGATCTTACTTTCTGTGAGATATAATTTGGACTACGTACTTAGCTATAAATATGTCTATACTTTTGGGGACTACAAATGTCCCCAAAATTATGATTATAAATCTAACTAGATTTTGCAATTTGGGGTCAAACAATTTTACAACCTTCTGATGTCTTCCAGGAGACAACATACCTGTTTGCTTGTGCTATGTTTGTAGGCCATCTTTAAAGTACTGAATGTCCATGTCTTTCTTTTCTGTAGCTATTTCAGGTCATTGTTTTATCTTGGCCCTGATGTGTGTGATGAAAACCATTTTTTAGCCAGTGTTTCTTGTCCAAATTCAACCAAAAGTAAGATGTTAAAGGCTGGCCTTGTCAGGCATTCTTTAGCTAATTTGGTGTGCTCCAAACTCTGCCTTAGCAAAGCCTAACAACCTTTCTTTCAATTTCTAAATCATTTCATGTTTTTATGTGGAAGCCTGTTGTTTAAATGAGATGGTTTTTGTGCCTTTGTACTGTCAAAACACGTCGAGGACATGACCAGGGGGGAAGAGTGGCCTTATCGGTAAGAAGCAGTATAAAAGCATTTTCAGGATCATGCCACCGTAAGTCAAAGTTGTGTTCAAATTGGACCAACTTGCTTAACATTTTTGTTAGTGAGTGTCTAAGAAATGTAAAAAAGATCCTAACAGAAATAAGCCAGTATGGTTTTGAAACTTCCTACACTCCTTTTTATGTCTGACAGTGCTTCAAATGGAATTCATGAATAACTTGGTTTCATCTTTATGTTAGCATAACCATCTAACAAGGTAAGTCCAAATCCAGTCAAGAGCGTGTTACATATCCTCAACCACATGAATTCAGCTTGTTAATAACATTAATATATATTAAATCAGTAAGACTGTTTTCAGACAGGAATGTCCTGTAAAGTTATGCCAAAAAACAAAGTATACCCCTTGACTTGAAGTAGTCTCTACCCACATTTTATGGAAATCTGGTCTTGCTATGTTTTTCACCTTTGCTTCAGTTCATTGAGGTTTGAAGGCACAAACCTCACGAGCCCCATCGTTTCACTTAGAGGTTCCCAACTAAACCACTGCAACGTCTTGATTATTCTCCTTTCCAGCCATTCTGTGGTAGACTTACTGCATTTTTTAAGGATCATAGTTCTGTTTCATGACTCAGTTTGTTATGAGGATGTCTGATGACGAAATGGTCTGAAATCTGACTCTAGAATACCTTGGTATACAAAGGAGTTTATGTTGACTGACTGACTACAAGGTGAGTCCAAATCAGAACTCCTCTTCTACACTCCTTTGTGTTGAGATGAAGTGTTTCCGACTAGATTCTCTGATTGGTATTCTGTAAACATGTTGTGGATTTTCAATAAGCATCTTCTTCTATGAGAAGAACATTGTTCCAGAGGTGATCAAGTTTATTCAGATGCAAGTTTGTCAATTTAAGTTGTGCTGTTGTATTCTTTGGAGCATAAACCGTCTTTATCCTGGTAACTCTCCCAAGCAAACCTCACTAGCATTTTAGCTGCGTTATTCCCAGTAAATGCCTTTTCACTTGGACCCCATCTGTGATTCATGTTGCCCAAGAAACCTAGAGAACCTTTGACTGTTCATCAAGCACCATGAGGTTAATTAGGAGCTATTAATATGTCATATTGTTGATAAAAAGTGTGAAAAAAAAACCTTGCCAGCTACAGTTGTCCTCCATGGATCTTGCTCCAGAAAAATCTGGAGAGGATTCTTTTCAAATGAAGCAGCCCTCCGTCAAACAGCTGCTTGAACTAACACCTCAGACCTCTGCCATTAAAACTCCCCTCCCCACTTTGAGGGTGAGGGATGACATTTTAAACATCACACTCTCATAACGCCTCACGGTACAGATTCTCCAACTGCTTCTACAAAGTTCACGTTCTGCCGTTATGCCTTTGATCCGAGTCCCTGTGGGATGTTTCCACTGGCAATGTTAACCAGAACACACCAGGGACAGGGTCACCATTCGCCGCTCATTTGTCAAAGCAATTTGACTCTCACCTCAGGTGGGTTGGATGGCCCAGGGATGGCTCTGTGGACATGGAATGCCTTACAGAACTTTTACTCTCGAGAAGATGATTCATCAAGACAGAAACTCCCAGTCTGGAGACCTAAAGAAGCCAACGCTGATGGCCCGGCTGACTCACAGCTCAGGCTGTTCCTTTCTGGTCCACCCTGTGAGTTCACAGAAAGACCGGTCGGAATGGTGTGGGTAAATTTTTCAACTCATGTGCCAGCTTCGACACTAGTTTTGTCGGAAGATATGTCCACGCTTCCTGCTGTTGTTATTATTAGTGTAGTAAACTGCTGCATCTGTGGAGAAATCCCTCATGAGCCAGGCTTTCTCGCTACTCCCAAATCACTCGTATTACATAATTCATCAGCTGTGTGTATGAGCGTGCGTGTGCATATGTGTGTGTTTGGGATTTGCTCAGGTCAGTCTCCGCTGCAGCCCTGAGGGCGTGAGGAGGGGAATGAAGTCATCGAGCGATAGTAAACAAACCGTTCAGATGTAGGCAGACGGCGGTGGTCGATAGCTGCAAGGCTAATGCAAGGTTCTGTTTACTCTGCAGGGTTCACGTTGGGTAAAATGCTGTGCTGCACATGCACACAAACACACACACACACACACACACGCACACACACGCACACACACACACACACACACACACACATGTGCTGTCTGAACTTACATGCATCTCTGCATTGGTTTGTGTGCATCTATCTGTCAATGCAACAAGTTCCACTGTGAGCTTTGTTTTAAAGGAGGGAAGAGTGATTTGGTGCCCCAGTGGCTCCTGAGTGAAAAATAAAATTTTCCTTTTATCACTTTTTTTTTTTAACCTCTCTTGACTTTGCTTCTAGGACCTCACCTCTGTGTTGACCACATTCCTAATCACTCGGTGTTCCTCTTTGATGCTTCACTTTATGACCTGACCTTAAAATTATTCTGATGCTTTTTCGAGGTGTGAATAAACCTAAAAAAAAAAAAAAAAAAAAAATTATCTATTTCTATTTATTCCAAAATGCAATTGCAGACAAGCTTGAAATGACTTTCAGTTCTGTAAAATTTCTGTTTCATTTTCTTGTATTTGCAGTGAATGTCATAAATTAGCTCATCAGTTGTGAATGTTTTCCTATCTTGCTGTCTATGCTTTCCAAGATGAGGCCACATGAGGTTCCAGTTATTCCAACTTTTGCTTTGCTTTAATATAAAAATGTTGAAGATTCAGTTACCACCCTGGAATCTTTGTACGTGGAGTCACACCGTCTCCAGGTGGATATGCTGGTTTTCTCCAGGTACTGCTGCTTCTTCCTAGAGTCACATAAGTACTAGAGTATTTATGTTAGAGAATTTGGTTCCTCTAACTTGCCCTTCAGAAAGTGTGTTTTAGTATTTCTCATCTTGTAAGGCTCATTTTCCCAACAAATCCTACCGATGTGAGGACCTACTGCTCCTTATGGGGCCTCACTGGTGCAGTGTGTCACCTATAAGCCACGCCCTTTTGATTCTGTCATCCCAGCTACATGATGTAAAGACTCACATGACCTATGACCTCAGGAGTTTTCCTTGTAAGACAAAGTGATCCATAATGGGGTTTTGTGTCTGCTGTGTTTGACAGTAATTAAATGAATCAGCATATTCATAATGTTTGAAATGCCGTATACTCACTTTT